GAGAAGCAATTTCTTTACTCCTCCAAGGGAAACAGTTTATTTTCTTTTTTAATTTCAGATTAATAGGAGGGTACAAATGATTAGGTTACATTGTTTGCATTTGTTAGGCCAAGTTCCGGTTGTAGTTGAGCCCTTCCCCCAGAGGGTGCCGTATATCTTTCCGCTGTGCGCCTTAGGGGACAGACACTAATCCTCCTCCTTTCTCCCTCTTCCTTTTTCCCTCCCCTCCCCTCCCCCGCCTTGAATTTAACTGTGTCTTTCTCTCCTGTGGGCATGTAGTTGTTTATCTATTGGGTTCATATCAGTATTGAGTACATTGAATACTTGCTTTTCTATTTTTGTGACACATTACTAAGAAGAATGCTCTCCAACTCCCTCCAGATAAATACAAAAGATGTAAAGTCTCTATCTTTTTATGGCTAAATAGCACCTTGTGGTTTACATACACCACAGCTTATTAATCCATTCACGTGCTGATGGGCACTTGGGCTGATTCCACACCTTAGTGATTGTGAATTGAACTGCAGTGAACATTCTAGTGCAAGTGTCTTTATGGTAAGATGATTTTTATCCTCTGGGTAGATACTCAGAAGTGGGATTGTGAGATCAAATGGAAGGTCTCTTTTTACCTTAAAGAAGCCATTTCTATTTAGAAGGCTTCAGAAACTGGGACCTAGATCTGAAGACAACTATCTATACCATATTTCATTAATTCTAAGATACATTTGTTTTTCAAATTTTAACATCTGCAAAGTCAGAAAGTGTCCTATAATTAGTGGCCTCTTATAGCTGTAATTGATACTTTTTTTTCTTTCTTGGCAGCACATAAAATAGTGGCCCATCATTTTATGGAGGGTGTCATAGATTCAATAAACTAGCTCAGCTAGACAGGCGCCTTTGGCTGCCACTATTCACCAGCTCTGTCTTCCCCTCTTCCTCTTATTCTTTCTTCTTCCTCACAGCTTTGTTTTTTTATTTTTATTTTGTATAAGACAGAGTCTCACTTTGTCACCCTCAGTAGAGTACTGTGGCATCACAGCTCACAGCAACCTCCAGCTCTTGGGCTTAGGCGATTCTCTTGCTTCAGCTTCCCGAGTAGCTGGGACTACAGGTGCCTGCCACAACACCTGGCTAATTTTTTTATTGTTGTTGTTGCAGTTTTTCTGGGGCTGGGTTTGAACCTGCCACCCTTGCTATATGGGGCTGGCGTCCTACTCACTGAGCCACAGGCACTGCCCCCACAGCTTTATTTTGATATATTGTATATACTATAACATTCATCCATGTAAAGTGGTTTTATGATTTTTTAGTATATTCACAGAGTTATCTGACTGTCACCACAATTTAATTCTAAAACATTTCAATGCCCCAAGAAACATTAGCAGTTACTTCCCATATCTCTTCACCCCTCCCGCCTCCCCAGCCCCAGGAAAATGCTAATACTAATCTACTTTCTGTCTCTGTGGACTTGCCGTTCTGGACATTTCACATCCATGGAATCTTATAGTATGTGGCCTTTTGTGACTTCCCGCTCTCTTGTAGCATGTTTTTAAGATGACAGTAGAGCTGATGGGTCATATGATGTCTTATCCATAACAGAGTGCTGTCGACTGGAGGGTTCAGACAGCAGGCATTTATTTCTCACAGTTCTGGAGAAGTCCAAGATCAAGATGTCACCATGTTGGTTTCTGATGAGGGCTTTCTTCCTGGCTTTCAGATGTCCCCTTCTTGCTGTGTCCCCACAAGGTTGGGGGGGGGTGGGGAGAGAGAGAGAGAGAGAGAGAGAAAGAGAGAAAATGCGGTCTTCTTCTAAGTGCCCTAATCCACCCCATTCTGGTTATCTCCCAAAGGCCCCATCTCCAAATACTATAACCTTGAGGGTTGGGGTTTCAACATATGAATTTCAGGGAACGTGTCCCAGTTCATAGTGCATCTCTAGGTCTAATTTTTAGCTGCTTTTATTATTATCTCTGTTCTGCCCCCCCTGTCTATAGATGCCAATGCTGTGGTCATTAGCTTGTCCATATAGCAACCTGCTCTGTGCTGGATGCTGTAAATAAGTAAAATGCTAAACACAGTCAAGGAGCACTTAGAGTCTAGTGGAGGAGGCAGGGAAAACAACAAAAGGCAAAAATACAAAACAGACAAAACTAAACATGATCTGTAATCATGTTCAGAAGACAAAGAGGAGGTCAGTCAAACAGAAGACGGCACTGGCCTGACTTAGTGGGAAAGTTGGGAAATTCATGGGGAGAGAGACATTCGGGACGGGACTGAAGCTGGACTGGATGTGCAGGGAAAGGAAGGAGGAATCAGGGCCTTCCTAGTGTTCGCTTGAATGACAGGTGGGTGGGGGTGGTGTTTGCTGGGAAGGGCAGGGCTGCATTGCGGGCTCCAGTGTTTGGAGGCGAGCTCAGGATGTCCACCCTGGATACGTTACCTTTGAGAAGTCTGTGAGTCCTGGAAGAGAAGATGCTAAGTAGCAAGGTAGGAAAGTGAGTTCAAAACTCTCCTATTTATGCCACATTTGAGAATTGCTGAGATGATTTCCAGAGACTGTCACGGCAAGCTGATGGGATGATCTGGGAGGAGTAGAGATAAGAGAGGGTGGCACAGGGGCAAGGGCAGGAGGATCCCAGCATTTGGCAGTTGAGTCAAGCAGGAGGAAAGAAACTGGATGAGCAAATGAGGGAGGAGATACCCAGGGATGGCAGAAGCCTGAGGAAGGGAGCGTTTGGGGCAGAAGGAAGTTCCCACCTGCCAAATGCCGCTGAGACACCGGGGAAGGGAAGAGCGCAGATTCGTCTGTGGAGTTTGCAACAGAGACGTTGCTGGAGTCCCTGACAAGTGAGGACTTAGTGAGTGGTAGGAAGGGACCACTCACTGAAGAATAGAGTCAGGTGAGAGCAAGGCCAGATCAGGCACTGCCTGCCCATGAGGGCAAGGTCAGAGGGCTGCGGGGGGATGGCGTGAAGCCGGGCTGATTCTCTACGTGACTGTTAGTGATGGAATGAGAGAAGGCCAACTGCTGTGCAGAAAAGGACATGGGAGGTTAGAAGAGAGAAGAAAAACTGTGAAATAGTGGACTCGGAAAATTGGAAAGCAAACCAATCAGAGAAAACTAGCAGTTTGCCAGGCAGGATTGAGTGTCAATGTGCAGTTTGAGATCATGAGTTTAAAGTGAAACCAGTCATTTACCTTGTGTGGTTTTATCCAGGAATGTTCAGCTTTCCAGGGCCTGGTGCAGAGCAGGGCCAAGGACTTCCATGAGGGAAAGAGAACACTGCCTAGGGGTGAGGACGGCAGTGAGGTGGGGCAGAGGCAGGTGGCTGGCAGGGGATGGAGTGAGATCCGAGATCTCAAGGTTTCTCTGAGACTGGACAAGGCTGCCAGTGGGGAAGTCCTGAGCAGGTGAAGCACAGGTGGGAGGGGGCTGTTGAAGAGTGGCATGTCTGAGGCCGGATGACAGACTGGTTGCATTTGCAGCTACTCACTGCTCCCTGTGACCATGGAAGCAGGTGGGTGGTGTGGAGGAAAAGAAAAGATCACCAGCGATTAGCAGAGTCAGGAACCAGGAGGCCTGCATTTCTGGCCATGCATCTATATCCCATTTTTTTAAAGAAAATGACTAGAGTTGGGGGAAGGAGGAGGACTGGGGGCTGGGAGCTGTGTCCCTAGTCCTAATCACTCACTTGTGATTGTATGTGTGTGTGATCATGAGACATTTTCCAGCTCTGTTTTCTTATGCCCTGACTACAATTTCAGATTCAAAATTGGCATGCAAGGCATGACAATTTCAGCAATTGAAGTCCATTCCTTGAGCTCCTGCTTTATGATTTAGGGATGGTTGTTGGTGATTTGGGTCTTAGCGAGGTAGGACCTTCTGCCCTCACAAGTATCTCCTCCGGGCCTTCTGCCTTGGATTTGCGTGGAACATACATGTCAAGGGTTAGATTCATGAGATTAAAAACAAAAAGGAAATCCTGGTCTAGATACCGAAAGCTGCTGTGGTCTCCAACCTTAGCTGCACTCCATGCCGGCGGGAGCTCTGGGCAGAGCACCCCGTCAATGTTACCCCGTTGTTTCACATCATAATTGTATCACTGCACGTCATAACAATGGGATTTCAACAGTTCTTATTGCACATTCTAATTATGTGATTACTCAGTCTTTCACCAATTATATAATTAGATTTAATTACACCAATTGCACAAATAAACGATAGTCAACTACAAATTACTTAAAATAAAATCCAGAACTGCGCATACGTCGGCAGTTGCCCTGAAAACAAGAATAGAAAACAAGAAAAGGAAGAAGCCTTATGAAAGCAATTAGCAAGTGAAAGAAGGGAATTATGGGATCGGGATAGGTCTTTACGGATAATGGCTGGATCATCTTGTCTGGAAGTTTCCTGTCACTTTTTTCCTCCAGCAAAGTGTGCTGGTAAGAAGTGAGGATGTGAAGTCAGGAGTGCTGAGTCCTCTGCGCAGTGCCTGCCAGCAGAGATTGTTCTTCTACTTTCTTGACCCTTTAACCGTGCAGCTTAATGAGGAAGGGGGAGGGAAGCTGGAGAGGGAGAGAGAACAAGACAATTGGAGAGCGGGGTGGGGGAGTAGGAGGGAAGGGTAATGTAATCAGTTTGACATTTAATAATTAAAAGAAGTACAGTATATTTTAACACAGAGAACGGAATCAGTGCTAAGGCACGTGAGAGTTATCATTTGAAACTTAGTCCTTACCTAACTCACTCTGGCATTTCTGATTTTTTTTTCTTTCCTTCACCCTTGATTTAGCTCCCCCCAAACACCATCTGAGTGTGTTACACGAACCTAGAACTTTACAGCTAGTAGCCTATCTTGTTCTGTTGAAGCGTAATTTGTAAAACCAAACATGCCAGGCATTGTGGGCTCCAGTAGTCCCAGCTACTTAGGAGTCTGAGGCAAGAGAATCGCCTAAGCCCAGGAGTTGGAGGTTGCTGTGAGCTGTGTGACGCCATAGCACTCTACCAAGAGCGATAAAGTAAAACTGTCTCTACAAAAAAAAAAAAGAAAGAAAATCATAATTATTAAGAATATTCAATAACTACTATATCTTAGGAAAAGATAAGCAAGTAATACAACACTGCCTTAAGTTTTTCTGATTCTGATTAGTCATCTCTTATAAAGCTGGAACTTCAAGAAATGTTCAGTATAGGCCATGTGTGAGCCATGCTTCTGAACTTATAAAAAAATTTTTCACCTTATATTTTATTACTCTAAGGAGTTAAAATTCTTGCTCATGGTCATCTTCCCAGTATCACCCTATAATGCATTCTTTTAAGGATTAATTGGTTCTGCATTTTCAGTACAAGCTAGTAGTACATGTATATATATTTGGTCAGAGTGATGTTTCAGAATTAAGCCTCTTCTATCAGTACTGTTCTATTCTGTGAAGTTTGCCTTTTACCCTCTATACGATTATTTTCACCACCTTCTGGAACTCTATGCCACATTCAAAGGCCTTGACTTGTCCCACCTTGTAT